AAAAAAAAAAAATGTTTGGTATGTGAGACCGTAAACTGATCCTATAAATTATAAAAATCTGTAATGAAATGCATGCCTCGGCCATGATGTTTTGTTTTGTTTTTTTTGTTAACGTTTTTCTATCGGAGATGATTTTTATGCCTTTGCTTTCTTATGTCTCCATTTTTTTATATTCCTGACATTACCGGAAGTGTGCACGCAGAAGGGTTTGTATTGACCCTCTTCTTTGTTTATGAAATGGTTTATAGCTGTTTGTGCCCTTGGAAGGAAAGCATTGGATCTGCATTTTGAACATTAAAGGACCACTATAGTGCCAGGAAAACATACTCGTTTTCCTGGCACTATAGTGCCCCGAGGGTGCCCCCACACTCAGGGACCCCCTCCCGCCCGGCTCTGGAAAGGGGAAAGGGTTAAATCTTACCTTTTTTCAGCAGGGAGCTCTCCTCCTCCTCTCCGCCTGCTCTCCTCCTCTTCGGCTGAATGCGCATGCTTTCCTATGGACGCTGGCGTCTTCTCACTGTGATTTTCACAGCGAGAAGCACGCAAACGCCTCTAGCGGCTGTCAATGAGAGGTTGGATTAACCCATTTATAAACATAGCAGTTTCTCTGAAACTGCTATGTTTATAAAAAAAATGGGTTAACCCTAGCTGGACCTGGCATCCAGACCACTTCATTAAGCTGAAGTGGTCTGGGTGCCTAGAGTGGTCCTTTAAATTGGAACGTTTGCGTCTTGCTTGGGTGGTCCTGTTTGGATAGAAACTATTGGAATACTTGATTATTTTAAGACGTTTCATTTTACATAATTTTTCTATTTGTAGTCAACACTTGGGGAGAGAAACAAAAAGCGAGTTGTATTGTAGGTATATTGTACACAAAGCATTTTAGGTGGATTTTTTTGTGAATTCGTTATTTTACCCCTATTCCCTCCCATTATTAATGGTAATAGAAATCAGATGCACTTTAAGTTCTAAAATGTATGTATTTATGTAAATCAGAAGCTGATACCGCCTCTAGCAGCATCATAGGTGCATCATTATGAAGCTTGGAATTAGTGTTCCGGGGGCCAATATTAAAGGGTTTCTATAGTGTTATGAATACAAACCTGTGCGCCTCAATGTGTGTGTCAGTGTCCTCTGCCTGTAACGATTATGTGTGTATTATATTTTCATTTTGTGACTTTTATATTTCAGATTAATAGTTCATATATTCCTCCTTACACATACAATATTCAGGTGTGTTGTCCTATATGGGATTAAAGGGACACTGTAGTCAGCAGAACAACTGCAGTTTAATGTATTTGTTCCCGCATGTAAAGCATGTCCCTGCAGGCTTTTTGCTGTAAACGTGGTCTTTTCAGAGAAAATGCAGTGTTTACATTACAGCCGAGTGATAACTCCACTGGCCATTCCTTAGATGGCTGCTAGAGGTGCTTCCTGGGGCAGTGCTGCACAGTGTGACTGACATTCAGTGTCTCCTATCTCTGCATGGAAACATTGAATATTCCTCATAGAGATGCATTAATTCAAATCATCTCTATGAGGAGATGTCAATTGTTCAGGGCAGTGTTTAGCTCCACCCCCTAGGTCGCCTCCTTGGCTGAGATAATCAGATTTGACAATCTCAGCCAATCCAATGCTTTTCTATGGGAAAACATTGTGATTGCGTGAGATCATCACTTCTGATGATGTCAGCCCAGCAGGCAGATCAGGGGCAGAGCCAGCAGCAGCAGGCTGAAATAAAGGTAAGATTTTACTATATTTAGGAGGGTAAGGAGGGCCAGATGGTGTTTTTTACACTATAAGGTCAGGAATACATGTTTGTGTTCCTGACCCTATAGTGTTCATATAAGTTAGAAAAGAATTATAATGGTAAGCAGTGTTTACTGCTGAGTATACACTTATATTATAGTATAACCCTTCTATTAACAGACCGCAAGCTTATCCAATATATCAGTTAGATTATACTGGTTTGCATTTTAGCATTCCATAACTTCATGGATATATATCTATATCTTATCATTAAGGCTCTTACCATTCATATGATATTCACCATATGAATATAGACTAGTTATAGTGAGATCTATCAAGAATAGGGTCTCAATAATAAATTCAGGGGTCATTCCACCTTCTGAAAAATTACAGTTAAAGGTTTACTTCTGGAACAGTGCAGAAGCCAAAAGCACGTCATTGTCACGTGTCACTGGGGAGCCTCTGAGCCTGCAAAGGACACTGGTGAGGGCAAACAATTACTAAACCGTTTACCAGGGTACTCCTGATATAATAACCACTACAGCTGGTGACTAGTGGTAACAGTCTAATAATTACCATTGTTTTACAACGACTTTCTCTTAATCCTTGGGGCCGGAACTGCCAATGTATGACCTGTAAACCGTAATACATCCCTCAATAGTATCGTCTACTCCACCGGTTACATAGTCACATTCATGTACTCACCCCGGTCAGCACCTTTTTAATGTGATACATGGTTACTCTTTTATGTTCACATTTTATACAGCACTTCATGCAGAGCCTGAACGGGCGCTTAGATGACAAGAACGAGGATGTTGGCAGGTGAAGGACCGTCTGGCCTGCGTGGATCTTTTTATATATTTGCTGTCTGGCTCAATAAGAGGAATTATCTCGTACAGAGGTGCTGTGTAAGGCTTTGAAACCCGCACAAAACACGAGACTGGGGACATACCATAGACAGTGATTGAACGATAATTGGATTTGAAATTGCATTTGGAAATGAAATTTAAAAAACTAAGGCATTTTGAGAACCTGCAAACTATCTTCCGTGTTGCTATTTTTTTTTTTCTTCCCTTCTAGTCTAAACAATGCCAAGATGAATTAACAAGAAATGACATATATTATTTATTAATCCCACATGTTTGTGCGGAGATGGAAGGTCTTGCTTCCTGCTGTGCCTTAAAGAGGTGGAGCAGAAAAGTGCATTTTTAATATTTTTTTATTTTTATATAATAGACATATTTTTTTATTTATTATTAATAAAAAATGGGGAAATTTAACAAAAAAGGAGACCATTTAAAAATGTTGCAGGAACAATAGGTTGATGATGACCATTCCCAGACCATCTTCCAATCTAGAGGAGCTGGGGCATACAATCACGATAGGAATTGCATTGAGGGCGATAGCAACCAAACAACAAGGCACATATTCTTTTTGTAGCTTAAGGGTTTATCAATCATTTGTGGCAAAATATTTGACTCTTTTATTGGTGATTTGAACATATCTGTAAACATTGTTGGGTAAGAGACATGGAGGTCCTCTTTCTGTTCCCTTGTATCAGAGATTTCCCCATTGGATGGTTGGCCATGTTTGGACCAATGCCTTGTGTGTTCAGAAATTCTGGGAGTTGTAAAGAGGATCTGACCTGTAGATGTGTTTACTAGTAGGACACAACTCTGCAATGTGCAGTATAGATGCAGATGTGACTAATCCTGACCAGGAGACACTGGATATTATGATGTTCAGGACACATTCTGCAGTCAAGGGTGGCAGACACATGAGCCATAGTTGGAAGTATCTCTGGGTGAAAGAAGAGAGGGGCACTCTAAATTATAACTTCTTCAATTATTATCCTGGCACAGCATCTCAATAGCAATCACCTGTGTGTTTACTAGAGGGGTTGTAGATTTTTACATGGAGTGCCCCCTGATGTGTATATTGTATCTCAATGAGCAGTAGATTAAGAAACTGTTAAAGGGGTAATCCAAGCACCATTTCCAGTTTAGTTCACAGTAGTATTGTAGCTCTCAATATAATACCCCATTATTTATTGTATTTTCCATTAAATCCAATGTGTCCAAACTCCCTCCCCTGCCTTTTTAAAAAAAACAAACAATATAAATGATATTTATTAGATATGTCGAAATATATTGCTTTAATTTCTTAAAGCAAATAGGATAAATGCTTCCCCAAGGGCTCATCAGCCACTTGTTTTCATAGTTTAAATTCTTTCTTTTATTCGTGCATGAATTAACAATTAGGTCTGCTACGCCACAATAGCGGTATGAGACCATTCGTCAACAGATTGTAATATGCCATAAGAAATACTGTGCACAATTTTTTTAAAGTAAAATACATGTTAAATCAAGATGTGTCAATAACTGAAAATGCATGAGGATTAATGAAGCTATGCTTTTATAGTCTGACACTGAGTAACTAAACATATTGACATATTAATGGAACATGCTATGAAATTTATATGAACAGAATTAGTCTAGTGCAGTGATGGCGAACCTATGGCACGCGTGCCACAGGTGGCACGCCGCGCCCCCTCTGTGGGCACGTGGCCATAGGTCACCGGAGTGAGGGTGCGCTCCGCCGGCGCATCCATAAGGCGGCACAAGTGGCCACCTTAGGTTGCACCGGCCCGGCGTGCGCAAAGCCGGAGTGACCGGCAGGAGGTGAGCGCATAGCGCTCCCTCCTGCCAGGCACTCTGTGTAGCGTGGCCGAGCGCGCCGCGGTACAGGAACTTATGTTTCCTGTACCCGGGCGGACGGAAATGAAGTGCTCACAGAGAGAGCACTTCCTGTCCGCCGGGTACAGGAAACTGAGCTCCGCGGCGCTCGGCCACGCTACAAGGTAGGAGACTGAGGGAGAGATTGGGGAGGGAGGTTGAAGGAGACTGAGGGAGAGATGGGGAGGGAGAAGGAGACTGAGGGAGAGATGGGGGAGGGAGAAGGAGACTGAGGGAGAGATGGGGAGGGGAAGGAGACTGAGGAGAGATGGGGAGGGAGAAGGAGACTGAGGAGAGATGGGGGAGGGAGAAGGAGACTGGGGAGAGATGGGGAGGGAGGGAAGGAGACTGTGGGAGAGATGGGGAAAGGAGACTGGGGAAGGAGACTGGGAGAGATGAGGGAGAGATGGGGAAGGAGACTGAGATGGGGGGGAAGGAGACTGAGGGAGAGATGGGGGGGAAGGAGACTGAGGGAGAGATGGGGGGGGAAGGAGAGGTTTAAATGCCGTTTTGGCACTTTGAGGGGAAAAAATTGGCATGTATTACGGTTTGGGCACTCTGGCTCAAAAAGGTTCGCCATCACTGGTCTAGTGCATGTTGGTCAGTACTATTAGCTTAGGGGTATGCACTGTGTGTGCTTATAGTGAGTTAGTGGAGACCAGAGTAGCATAGTGTCTGTGAGACAGAGTTAACAGCTTAACAGTTGTGTTGTAGGTTGTATGTACAGTGTTATGGCGAGTTAATGAAGACAAAGATAATAAAAGCACATTGCATGATAGACTATGTAAACAGCAGTGATTAGTCTATGTGCTATGCCTGCTTATAGTGAGGATAATAAATCTCTAGGAGGCCTCCTAGATACATAGGTATGGATATCTACGTTCAAATGGAGGAAGCCAAATGAAAAAAAAACAAAAAAACATCCACTACTGGCTATTGAGCATGTAGGCTTGTCAGCACTGTGTGTAGTGCCGGGAATGTGAAGGGTTAACTCAGCCTATACCCTGCTGGGGCAGCACAAAGTATAGTTGAGTGTCCCGATATCAGGCTTTGCAGTCCTTGAACTCCTGTTGGTTTCAGGGTCCTCCTACTGGGGATGCATCGGCGTAGCAGCATGGGTTTCTCTTTGTGTCTCCAGGTCCCCTGCTGGCGTGCCTGTCGAGTGCGGGTCAGTTTGCGGCTGCGTTGGGCCACACTCGATGCTTTCGAGGGTGCCTTGCACTCCTCCGCTGGCGTGTGTGGTGTGGAGGGGTCGCACCCCATTCAGCTCTCGTCCCAGGTGAGCTTTCGTCGGTAGCTTTACCCAGCTGGGGCTTCGCCGGCCACACTCTGATCTTGCGCTGTTCAGGGTATACAGCCCTGGCCGGCTGTTGTGCTGTGGGTGCTTTGGTCAACTCACTGACCTGTGATGGTGTAAGTAGCTGGTGCTTATGCTCTAGGTGGTCCCAAAACCGCTTGCATACGGCCTCAAAACTTCCTTGGAAGGCTGCTGCCCAGTCACTGGGGGTCTGTCGCTCTGTGCAGGCAGTGGTGCCGTCGGCCATTTTGGTCAGGCCTCGTGTCTCCCGCTTGTCAGCTATGCGCCCTGGAGTAGCTTGTAGCTGGGCACTCTCTGTTTGGCTGTGTGGACCGGGATGACCGCTGCCAGTCTTAGGGGGGAGGGGGGCAAGATGTTTCACTGGGGTTCCAGTCACTGCTTTTATGCCTGGAGAGCGGCCGTCTCTCCGTGGCTCAATCTTGGGTAGGCTCCAGGCCTAGGTGTGTCAGGTCGGCTATGCTGGAGCTTGAGAGAGGCACCGTTTGATGCAGTAGCCTATCCCGGTTGTGGATACAGAGGTCTGCAGTTTGTGAGTAGCGATGGTTGGGTATAATACCCCATTTTCTGTCCCCAGACGTGGAAGCTCTTGCTGAACACGTCTGGGCTGCTTGGTTGCTTGGCTCCACCTCCCCTGCCTTTTTTAACACCATCTTAGAAGACTTTATTTTCCATTCAGTTGCACAAATACCATGTTGTTGACCCGTACATGTTAGTTATTCAACATGCCACTAGACGAAGTCATACTTACTGTATTTTCCTCATCCATTATATGATATTTTGCTTTGTGTACGTTTTTGGTCCATAGCTGGCCCGATATCTGTAATTATAAATACAAGAAATAGTTCTGTATGTTTCTATCCATATGTTTGAGGTGTATCTTGGATATGCAGCCAGGCATGACGTCTTTCGATACGGAGGGCTCTCTGGGGAGAGCTATAACATAGTGAGTCACTGACTTACTGTAAACCTGGTGACAATGTTTCAATGGGAGCATCACACGTGAATGCATTTCAAAGTAAGTGCAAACAGTCAGCCAGAAAACCCATGTTTTGTAGGTTTTATTTTTTTGTGATATAAATGCATCTTTGTAATTGATGTTTACGCTGTACGAGTACTCCCATCCCTGGAGATGTGGATCAGCTGGATCAAAGAGAAACTGTGTGTTGGAGAATCGGGGAAAAGACACAAGGACGCCCCTCACTTATTCCAGTCTGTTTAATGCATTTTATAAAGTAGAACTGATTTATTCTATTCTGTTCGGGTTAGTCACTGAAGTGTGAATTATTGGGGATTTAAAGTGTATTTCAAATAGCATTTCAAATTTTAAACCAAAAAGCTGAATTGAACATTTTCCCAGATTCTTCAGCATATTATTGCTATGCAGGTTGATACTGATAATGTGGATTGAATGTGGATATATCTTGCATATTAACATGAAGAGGGAGCATAGTCTGGCCTTGGAGGGCCAGGGTTTTGGAAACTGTTCCTGAACACTTTCACAGCGATCTTGAAGGACAGCACACATTAGGATACATTTTTAAGATGATTTAATGTTTTTAAAAAAGTTTTTTTTTTTTTTTTAAATATTTAAGACACTTTTTTTATAATTGATATGTTTTGATATTATAATGTTTTGATAAAGTAAAAGTTTATAAAAAAAATTATAAAAAATATTAAATCAAGCCCGGTATAGATGGTTGACTACGTAGCCATAGTGTTCCTTTAAAGTGACACTCCAGACCCCTAGAGCACTTCTGTGTGAAGAGTGTGTCCTCAACGGCGTAGATTTCAATAGAAATTGACACTTTTATAAATTATACACCCCCAAGCTTTTCAAGCAGACAAGCAGACAGATGGTCCTGTTACTTCCTGGTTTGGTTAGCTTAGTTGAACTGAATTTAAGAGGCAGTAATTGCCCAGAGAACCTGCCTTGCAAAGACTTTTCATTAAGCTGCATTTGGAAGTCTGTGATTGGGCAGCCACATAAAGTATGGGTGGGGCTAGAAGGGGAGGGTACATACAAAGAAATAATAAAGAGTAATGACGACTACCTGCATTATGCCTTTCAATATTTCCTCTTTCCTGACGTTCCCCGGTGTCCTGCTTTTGGGGACACTAGAGGAGCTGCACTCTGCACTGAAACAGCGCTCTCTACATGTACTGCCTTCAGTGTGCCGACCTAGATGATTGACTGGTAGCTAGGATGATTGACAGGCAGCCTTTGGGCAGCACCAGTCATGTGATTGCATCACTAGCCAGCCCCCTTTTCCCCTACCAGCCACATCCAGGTTCTACAGGCACCGATGCTGGCGTACTTGAATAAATATGAAACAAGTCCTGCACTCACTCCTATCACTCCTGGGCGGCAGCAATGATCGCAGTACACATACATTCGGTAAAAAACAAAGAAAAAAGTTACCTGCTCTCTTCCCAAATCCCTACGCATATTTAAACAAATGGAGAGTATTTAGTTTCTCCAATGGCCATGAGAGAGTTTAGCCCACCTGGCACGTCAAGGCAAACCTCTCAGGTGGGTCCTACACTAACCTTTCACCTTGCTTCGTTGATGTCAAGGGTCCGCGGGCTGCTGTGAGGGGAGGCTGTACGCCACTTGCAGCACTCACCATCAGTCCATCGCGGTCTCCCTTCCTCCTACCTGTTGGCGAGCGGTGTCTCCCCTCCGCTGCGCGCCGCTCGCATCCTCCTCCACGCCTCCCAGCGGCAGCATGTATAACGCTGCACGCTGGGAGGTCGCACATTTATGCAAACGCTGGGGTCACTCACGTGACCCGGCGTTAAAGCAACAGTACCACAATCACAGTGGGAGGTGTAGATATCTCCCACGTGTGATTGTTAATTCTGATTGGAAGTTATCCAATCAGAATTGAGCACAGGAGTTATATACTTACCTTTCCTGTCTCTCAGTGCCCTGTTGTGGTCTTGTGATACCTGTAGTGCTGATCTCTCGTGTTTCTCTCTGGTTACCGATTATTTGGTTCGTTATTCCGATTCTCCTGTATTCTCCACTCCTTTGACCTCCGCTTGTTTCTCGTTCTCCCGTTTTCTGGCTCCCTTTACTTGGCTTGTCTCCTGACTATTCTTAGCGTGCTTAGCCTGGCCACTCTAAGGACCGGTATAGCACCCTTCCTCTCTGTGACCTGTTAGCGTGTTAGGTTACGGAATCGTGACAGTTGAGCTTCTGGCAAAGATATCTCTAATGAGACAGAAATGGGTTCTCATGGCCATTGGAGAAACTAAATAACCTCCATTTGTTGAAATATACATAGGGATTTGGGAAGAGCGCAGGAAACTTTTTTCCTTCGGTTTTTATTGTATGTAATTGAATAAATGTTACAATTATGTACATGAAATCGGCATATATTTTTTCCAATTTGAAAATTTTATTACATTTTCCAAAATAAGGGATGGATACAGAAGAGAAGAGGGGGGAGGGGGAGAGAGGTGCGGTAAAAGGTACCAGTACATGTCACTTGTATGACACAGGTTCAGCATTTCAACCGGACAACAGATAAAGACCTGCTCTAAGGATCGTACAATGCAATATAGGGAGAGCCATCTACCAGTTATACAAGAAATTTAAAGAATAACCTGCAAAAGGCTGTATAGCAGAATATGTATAGCATAGTCTGTGGCAGTCGTTCCCCACAGTGTGCAACATAGGCCTATGAGAATCACATCCCAAATTATAATACTCAGGTGGGGGGTCGATCTCCACGTGTGCCACAGTGACCACACATATAGAAGTGAATTTGGTTTCATATTGTCAGGATTACTAGTTGATCCAGCACATAGAATTGTGTCACACAGATGACTAATAGGTAACGTATTACCGGACCTTAGAATGGCCGGACTTAACGTACCAAAGAATAGTCAGGATACTTGCCGAGGTCGTGGGATACAGAAAGAGACACAACGATAAGGCAAAGCCAGAAGTCAGTGATGCCAGAAAACAGGGAAGTCAAAATCAAAGCCAAAGTCAAAAACCAGAAAAAACTTGAATCCGGAATGCGCTCTCGGACAACCACAAGGGAAACCAGGACAGGGCACTGAGCAGGATGAGAACTGGGCCTAAATACTCCTCCTCTGGATCTGATAGGCTGTAATCAGCCTTTGACCCTAAAGGCAGTTACCAGGTTCCCATTTGCATAATTGCTGCTCAGCACAACTTTTCCTGCCAGGACAGTAAATGTCATTAATCACATTTTTATATGTGGATGAATACGTGACACATATAGACATTGTTTATCTAGTTCAGCGGCGAACTGAAAAGGATTTCCAGACTCCAGCTATCAATTGACGAGCTGTCAACATAATTTGGTAGATTAGTTTACGGCCACCCGTTTGGTCCCGGGTGGTAAGTCCAGCAGAAGATACATTTGTGGAGTAAAGGGGATAGAACAGTCCGTAGACTGCAAGATAATGTCGTGGACCGTCTGTCAGAAGGACATCAAGGTTGCACAGTGCCACCACGTATGGAGAAAAGTGACTACCCATCAGCCTCTCCTGAGGAACTGCAAAACGTAGGCACAGTAGCCAGGCTAGAAAAATAATTGGGATAAGGAATGTTTCTAATGTATCTATTTTGGCAGCAAATTAGACCTTTAGTGGTCTTCTCTTAATAATTTAGTGGGTCATCCTCCTTGTTTCACACCTTTTTACACTTGTATTTCTCGTTCAAGCATGTTCTCATTCATTTATGTATGATTTGGCTAATCATGTCACTAGTTATTTGAGTGATGTCTATCTGCATGTGTTGAGACTTTGTAAACATTTTGCCCAGGTCCTCGATGGGTTCAATATTTTTTTTGCTTTGTTTTGATGATAGCAGCTGTGCCATTTACCCCCTGTGACGACTTGCAATTTGCAGGAAAATTAGTTATGCAAAATTATTGTAAACAGGACATCTTTTTCTTCTGTTGGATATGCTAAGAAAATGAGCCTGAATAATTAGTGAGCATGTAAAACGTGTCTGGGGCGTTAAGGGAAATCCGAGAAATTACCGTGTCACGTTACACTACATGCAGATCTTGTAACAGCACGTACCATATCTCATGAAGTGAATTACAAGAAAGATATTTTAAAGTTTTATTCCAACCAAAATAATGTTTTCATGAAACACTGGTTTTGGTTGGAATAACCCTTTCTGAGATGGTCGCATCCCCAAAACAAAAAACACTAATACCTCTGTTCTATCACCGATAGAAATTCCTAATTAATGGGCTACAAATCCAAGACAAAGTTGACACAGGCCGTGGAGCTTGACTATAAAACTGCAACCTTGATCAACTCTTGCCATCCTGCAAATTATACATACTTCCTCATGTATAACTTTTAAAATAATCATTTTTAACTCTCCCCACCACCACCACCACCACCACACCGTGACTGTATCGATTGTCATCAAAACAAAGCTCTCCATTTATCGATCAGCCTCTCCTGGTAGGCCGAGGCGTGCTGTATACAATGTGCATGTTCCTGTAGCGTGATCACCTGTCACTGGGAACCACTTGCATGTGCAATGATACACGCTGCTTTTACACTGGTCACACTGAGCTGTAAATTAAACTGTTGCTTCTGTTGTAGAAACAAGCTGAGGTGTCTGGAGGTTAACCTGATTTTTATTTTTAAATATCCAGCTCACTCGTATATACGTTAAATCTCGAACATGGGTTTGTACGCTGTCAGTAAAATAAATTGCATGGGTTGCTAAAGATTTGAGAGGAAAATAATCCCTTATGAGTCACCGGTGTAAACTCTGAAAATGTTATACGCTAAAAAGACTAGTTACATAAACTGTTATCTTGAACATCTGAAGTCTCACTCTTCTCTTTTGTATTTTTTTTTCTTTTTTCATACAACAATAACTTAAGTAAAGTATAGTGTTTTGAATTATGTAATCGTGTTTTTATGTCTTGTGTGTGAGGCTGTCATCTCGGTGTGGTGTGTAAAAATAGCAAATCCTAATCCTGTTCCTAAACAATGCAATGTCTGCGTCTTAATCCCTGGGGTTAGGAGGCTCTCGGGAGTCAAGACTGACCTCTAATCGGAAACAACTTAACGTTGCTTTACCAGGGAGTGTCTTATAACACAGATATGTTTCTAACTGACACATTCAGCTTTAACAACCATATTATCGATAGGATTTTGATTCCTGTGCTATTTGTTTTTATTTATTTTTCCCCAATTATTGGATTTTATTTTTTTAATCGGTCTCAAGTATGTTGAATTGAGTTTTGTGCTTCCTACTATGCAGGTTTGAGTCCACAGTGTGTGGGGTTCCGACATGGTTTGCCCTAGCCTTGGTGGACATCTGGTTGACTGGCATTTTTCAACACCATGCAATAAGCCCTGTCCAGGGTGGAGTGGATTTAAACCAGGTGTGTTTAAAGGGAATCTCTAACCTCCCCCTCTAAAATAATAGACTGTACTTAGATATACTTCTAACTAAAACTTGCCTGACTTTAACTATACATGTTTTCATTGGGATATATCTACAAACAGTTTGCAAAAACTTCAGATCTTTTGTTTGCAGCCTTTGGAAGCCCTCCCCTTCTGACCCCACCCAGACTTTCTGTGGCTGTCCAATCACAGACCAAATGCAGCTCAATGAGAAGTCTTTGAAAGGCAGGTGCTCTGGGAAATTGCCTGTCTTCACTGAGCTAACCAAACAGGCAGTAACAGGATCGCTTTTCTAATTGACAGGCAGGGGGTGTAACAAGTTTCATTTATAAAAGTGCCAATTTCTATTGAAATATGTACTTTTGTAAAATGGGGGGAAAAATAGATGCACTCTTCACACACAAAGCAAGCTAAAATGCTTCAAGGGTTTGCAGTGTCCCTTTAACGATTTAAATTTACACTATAGTCACCAAAACCACTTTAGTGTAATAAAGAAGTTTTGATGTCTAGATTATGCCTCCGCAGTCTCAGTGCTCAATTATTTAGGAGTTAAATCACTTTGTGACACTCTCCCTGCATGTGACTTACTCAGCCTTCCTAAACACTTCCTGTAAAGAGACATCTAATGTTTAAACTTCCTTTATTGCACATTCTGTTTAAATTAGAATTTCTTCTGTACTGTTAAGACCTTGCAGGTGCCTCCTGTGTGTGATTAAAGTTCAATTTACTGAGCAGGACATTAAAACTTCTAAAGTAAGTTAACATCTGCTTGAAAAATGTTTTAATACTTTTTTTGCAGGCTGTGTCAGTCACAAAATTAGTTTTGCTTTTTTTTTTTTTTATTCGAGAACAAGTGCTCCAAATCCAAAAATAGTTTAATCCACATGGTGCAAAAATCGACAAGATACACACCTTACGTGTTTTGGACCTACAGGTATTTAAACATTGGAGTGTAAAATACATTTATCCAAATAAAATTCACAGCATAGTGGCATTAGCTCCCTAGACTGCAAATATGTCAGTCACAGCCGGGGAGGTGTGGGTAGGGCTGCATAAACCGAAACAAAAGCGATTTAACTCCTAAATGGCAGCGAATTGAGCAGTGAGACTTCAGTGGCATGACCTGTACACAGAAACGGCTTCATTAAGCTAAAGTTGTTTGGTGATTTCAATAACCATTCAGTAAGACTCCATTTTTAGACGGAACGACTGATACATGCTGATTATTATAATCTTTTTTTTTTTTTTTTATTTGCAACCTGTTGAAGATTTCATATTGAGAATAATATCTTGTTTTGCAAGGTGCACAATCTCCAGTTTAATAGGTTAATCACTCCTGTGTGGAGAACAATTTAAAGGGACTCTCCAGGCAGAGTAGTTTACTCACCTGGTTCCAGCGACGTCATTGCTCCCTTGTGCGTATCATGCCGCCCTCTGAAGTCCTGAGTGCACTACCGCGCATGCGCGCGGTGTGCGCGGCCGCAAGCTGAGCTGACTGACAGCTCAGCACGCTGTCTTTGCCCGCCCCCTCTCCTCTGCTGACACAGTGCCTTCTCTCTCTTACACACGTCAGACGTATCTTAATACGTCTGACGTGTACAAGGTCTTTTTAGGGCCCTACATGAGTGACGGCCACTGGAGGTATTCCTATCAATCAATGTAAACACTGTATTTTCTCTGAAAATTGCCTGCAGGGAGCTATAGATCTCACCTGAACAAATACATTAAGCTGTAGTTGTTCAGGTGACTATAGTGTCCCTTTAAATGAAAGATGTACATTGTGTGTACATACACTTACAGAATAACCATGAGATTAAGTTTTTTTCTGAACTTTGTTTATTTTATAACATTTTTGCTGTGAAAAAGTACGTGTTATCTTGGCTGACAAGTTCAATTAACTTGGATTAAGGGAATTAATTTATAAAAAATGTAAATACTGCATGAATATATATTATATGCTAAATATGCTTTGGATTATGTATTTTTTTCTTCCAAAAGACTTTTATTGAAAGAAATCTAATTTAAAGAAAAAAAATACCAATTCAGATTTATTTATTTAAACATTTTTAGCCACTCTGCACCTGACTAATTCTCTCCCTTCGACAGCATTCCCACACGACATCACCATTGTTACCCCCTAGGTCAGTGATGGCGAACCTATGGCACGCGTGCCAAAGGTGGCACGCCGAGCCCCCTCTGTGGGCACACGGCCATAGGTCGCCGGAGGGAGGGTGCGCTCCGCCGGCGCATCCATAAGGCGGCACAAGTGGCCGCCTTAGGTCGCACCGGCCCGGCGGGCGCAAAGCCGGAGTGACCGGCAGGAGGTGAGCGCATAGCGCTCCCTCCTGCCCGGCACTCTGTGTAGCGTGGCCGAGCGCACCGCGGTATTTCCTGTACCCGGGCAGACGGAAATGAAGTGCTCACAGAGAGAGCACTTCCTGTCCGCCGGGTACAGGAAACTGAGCTCCGCGGTGCGCTCGGCCACACTACAAGGTAGGAGCTCAAGGGGGGGGGGGACAACCTGAGGGAGAGATATGGGGGGGGAAGGGGAATCTGAGGGAGAGATGGGGAGGACACCCGAGGGAGAGATATGGGGGAAGGAACCCGAGGAGAGATATGGGGGGCGTAAACCCGAGGAGAGATATGGGGAAGGAACCTGAGGGAGAGATATGGGGAAGGGGAACCTGAGGGAGATGGGGAGGACACCTGAGGGAGAGATATGGGGGAATCTGGTGGAGAGATATGGGGGGGACACCTGAGGGAGAGATACATGGGGGGAAGGGGACCTGAGGGAGAGATGGGGAACCTGAGGGAGAGATGGGGGGGAAGGGGACACCTGAGGGAGACAAGGAACCTCAGGGAGAGATGGGGGAAAGGGGACCTGAGGGAGATGGGAAGGAACCCGAGGGGAGAGATGGGGGGAAGGGAACCTGAGGGAGAGATGGGGGAAGGGGACACCTGAGGGAGAGATGGGGGAAGGGGAAACCTGAGGGAGAGATGGGGGGGGAAAGGAACCTGAGGAGAGATGGGGTAGCGAACCTGAGGGAGAGATGGGGAAGGGGAACCTGAGGAGAGATGGGGAAGGGGAACCTGAGGGAGAGATGGGGGAAGGGGAACCTGAGGGAGAGATGGGGACACGACACCTGAGGGAGAGATGGGGAAGGGGAACCCGAGGGAGAGATGGGGAGGGGAACCGAGGGAGAGATATGGGGAAGGGAACCTGAGGGCTAGATAAAGGAACCTGAGGGAGAGATGGGGAACTGAGGGAGAGATGGGGAAACTGAGGAGAGAGATGGGGGGGGAAACTGAGTGTGGGATGGGAGAAAAAAATTAGGGAGGGATGGGGGGAAAGAAAACAGTGGGGGGGGGAGAGAGGGGACGACATACACCCAGCACCCCTGCCCTACACATATCACCCCACACAAACACACACACATCACCCCACACACAAACATATCACCGCACACACAAACACTGTACCCCTCAATGCAGTGTGTGTATTTAGCAGTCTGTGTGTGTACACTCAGCAGTCTGTCTGTGTGTGTGTATTTAGCAGACTGTGTACTCAGCAGTCTGTGTGTATTCAGCAGTCTGCTAAATACACATACAGACAGACTGCCGAGCACACACACAAACTGCTTAATACACACACAGATGTTAATTAGTTCGGACAACTGTATAGAAACATAGAATGTGACGGCAGATAAGAACCATTCGGCCCATCTAGTCTGCCCAATTTTCTAAATACTTTCATTAGTCCCTAGCCTTATCTTATAGTTAGGATAGCCTTATGCCTATCCCACGCATGCTTAAACTCCTTTACTGTGTTAACCTCTACCACTTCAGCTGGAAGGCTATTCCATGCATCCACTACCCTCTCAGTAAAGTAATACTTCCTGATATTATTTTTAAACCTTTGTCCCTCTAATTTAAGACTATGTCCTCTTGTTGTGGTAGTTTTTCTTCTTTTAAATATAGTCTCCTCCTTTACTGTGTTGATTCCCTTTATATATTTAAATGTTTCTATCATATCCCCCCTGTCTCGCCTTTCCTCCAAGCCATACATGTTAAGATCCTTTAACCTTTCCTTGTAAGTTTTATCCCGCAATCCATGAACCAGTGTAGTAGCCCTTCTCTGAACCCTCTCTAAGGTATCAATATCCTTCTGAAGATACGGTCTCCAGTACTGTGTACAATACTCCAAGTGAGGTCTCACCAGTGTTCTGTATAATGGCATGAGCACTTCCTCTTTCTACTGCTAATACCTCTCCCTATACAACCAAGCATTCTGCTAGCATTTCCTGCTGCTCTACTACATTGTCTGCCTACCTTTAAGTCATCAGATATAATCACCCCTAAATCCCTTTCCTCATATGTTGAGGTTAGGACTCTATCAAATATTCTGTACTCTGCCCTTGGGTTTTTACGTCCAAGATGCATTATCTTGAACTTATCCACATTAAATGTCAGTTGCCACAACTCTGACCATTTTTCTAGTTTACCTAAATCATTTGCCATTTGGCTTATCCCTCCTGGAACATCAACCCTGTTACATATCTTAGTATCATCAGCAAAAGACATACCTTACCATCAAGACCTTCTGCAATATCACTAATAAAAATATTAAAGAGAATGGGTCCAAGTACAGATCCCTGAGGTACCCCACTGTTGACAAGTCCAAGCTTCAATATATTCCATTAACTACAACCCTCTGTTGCCTGTCACTCAGCCACTGCCTTACCCATTCAACAATATTGGAATCCAAACTTAAAGATTGCAGTTTATTGATGAGCCTTATATGTGCAACAGTGTCAAAAGCCTTACTGAAATCTAGGTAAGCAATGTCTACTGCACCACCCTGATCTATAATTTTAGTTACCCAATCAAAAAATCAATAAGATTAGTTTGGCATGATCTCCCTGAAGTAAACCCATGTTGTCTCTGATCTTGAAATCCATGTGTTTTTAGATGTTCATCAATCCTATCCTTTAACATGGTTTCCATCACTTTCCCCACTACTGAAGTAAGGCTTACTGGCCTATAGTTGCCCGACTCCTCCCTATTACCTTTCTTGCAATGGGCACAACATTCGCTAACTTCCAATCTTCTGGGACTACTCCTGTTAACAATGATTGGTTAAATAAATCTGTTAATGGTTTTGCTAGTACACCACTAAGCTCTTTTAATAGCTTTGGGTGTATTCCATCAGGTCCCATTGACTTATTTGTCTTTACTTTTGACAGTTGAAATAGAACCTCTTCCTCTGTAAACTCACGTGTAATAAATGACTCATTTATCCTTTTTCTCAACTGAGGTCCCTTTCCTTCATTTTCTTCTGTAAATACAGAACAAAAATATTCATTGAGGCAGCCAGCCTGACCTTTATCCTCTTCTACATACCTTCCTTCTTTTGTTTTTAATCTAACTAATCCTTGTTTTACTTTTCTTTTCTCATTTATGTATCTAAAAAATGTTTTATCCCCCTTTTTTACTGACTGTGCTATTTTCTCTTCTGTGTGTGATTTGGAAGCTCTTATAACTTGCTTAGCCTCTTTCTGCTTAATCTTATAGATCATTTTGTCTTCCTCACTCTGGGTTTTTTATAATTCCTAAATGCTAACTTTTTGTTTTTAACTATTTTGGCCACATCTGCGGAGTACCACAGTGGTTTCTTGAATTTTTTGCTTTTACTGACAAGCCTAATGCAATTTTCTGTTGCCTTCAATAGTGCAACTTTTAAATAATCCCATTTCTCTTGGACTCCATTTAAATTGCTCCAGTCTGATAATGACTCCTCTACCCATATTCTAATTTTAGAAAAGTCTGTTTTTCTAAAGTCTAAAACTTTTGTTTTTGTGTGGTGTGACTCAGTCACTGTTCTTATATTAAACCACACTGACTGATGATCACTGGATCCTAAACTTTCACCTACAGTAATATCTGATACCAAATCTCCATTTGTTAACACTAAATCTAGTATGGCCTCTTTACAAGTTGGCTCCTCAACAACTTGTTTTAGAGACAATTCCAGTAGGGAGTTTAGAATATGTGTGCTCCTGGCACAAGTAGCTAATTTTGTTTTCCAATTTACATCAGGAAGATTAAAGTCACCCATGATGATAACTTCCCCCTTCATTGTCATTTTAGCTATTTCTTCAACTAGTAGATTATCTAACTCTTCAATTTGTCCTGGAGGCCTATAAATCACACCTACACGAGTTACTGTGTGATTACCAAATTCTAACGTAGCCCAAACGGACTCTATGTTTGCCTCACTAACTTTTATTAGGCTAGATTTTATGCTATCCTTCACATACAAGGCCACCCCTCCCCCTGTCTTGCCTTCCCTATCTTTCCTATATAAAGAGTTCCCTGGTATTGCTATGTCCCAGTCATTTTTCTCATTGTACCATGTCTCAGTAACAGCGACTAAATCTACACTATCAGTTGCCATTATTGCCACAAGTTCATGGATCTTATTCTCTAAACTGCGAGCATTTGTAGACATGACTCTAAGCTTATAATTTTTTAACACACTTGCTACAGGCACCTTCTGTCCTTGTTTTGGGGGACAATTGGATTGATGTTTTATCACCCTCTTGCCCCCCCCCTTCTAGTTTAAATACATCCTAGCAAAACCTCTGAACTGCTCACTGAGAACATTTGTTCCCTTTTGAGAAAGATGCAAACCATCTTTTTTGTACAGGTTATTTCCATTCCAAACAGAGCTACCATGAGAAATAAAGCTAAATCCTTGCTCCCGACACCATTCACCAAGCCACAAATTAAAGTCCCTAATACGCATCCGCCTGTCGTTCTGAGTGTTATGCACAGGCAGAACTTCAGAGAATGACAGCGTGGAAGCAACCTGCCGTATATCATTGGCAAAACACTCAAAAAACTTCCTCTTAACCTCTGAAACCTCATTGTGTTGCCAAGTCATTTGTCCCCTAGATGGACAATGTGACGCGACCAATCTCGCCATACGTACTGGAGAGAAGCCTGGTTGCTCTCGCCTGCTGCCTTCTTGGACTATGGCCCCTGTTAAAAGACATTTTACCTGCAGAAAAGCTCGGCCCATGCTTTTCTTGCCTGGGGTTCGGTAGATTTGTTTGAATGTGTTATACCCCAGATAGGAATCCCATGGAGCCCATTCGTATGAAACTGACTGTAAAGACTTTGGCTCCATGGCGATTAAACTGTATTCGTGTGGTCTGAGCGCCATTCGCTTAATAATGTGCACTCAGACCTGAGCTATCTGGGGATATGTTACATGTCTGTGTTTTATGAAGTAAATGTTACTTTATGTATTTTAAAGTATAATACTGGTTTTGTGTCCCCACATGTGAAATGGAGTTTTGCCTTTGTCTTGGGAGATAATTGAGTTACTTCTCAATTATCTCTCAGGGCAGAGGAGAGGAAGCCAGGATGCATTGTGGTAGAAAGTATGTGTAATTGAGTTTCCTCTCAGGATAAGGGGGAGGGAATCAGTGGGTTGTAACTAATATGTTACTGGATATTTTATACCTCCCTGTGGGCGGTCCTGTATTTGCAAGACTGTAATAAAAACCAGGCTGGGTGTGCCAGCACCTCAGACCACTGATTGACCCTCAACACAGAGCCTTGTCTCGTTCTTGGGGGGATTCACTGTATGCTGTTAGAGACTGATTGCCAGGAGTGTAAGCTGATTGTCTGCTTTTCCTGTTCGTCTGCTAACAGCTATTTGGGAGGTTCCAGTTCGGGAGTTGGAGTGCTATTTTGTATCCAGTTCGGGAATTTGGTGTTCTGCAGTAGCTGTACCTGTATCTCTGGAAAGGGGGCTGTTTGCCTAAACGTTTTTTTCCCCTTGTGTTCAAAACGGTCCGTTACAGACAAGTACATCCAATTCCCCTTCCTGCTTTGCTTGCTTAACAATATTACAGATACGTCTCCTGTCTCTGTGAGCAGTAGCTCCGGGAAGACACCTCACAAGACCACCATTGTCCATCTCCACACCTCTTATAATGGAATCCCCAACAACAACTGCTTTCTATTAGGCCTCACCATAGTCTCCAAGCCGGTCTCCACAACACCACTAGTCTCAGTGCCTCTCTCCACAACACCACTAGCCTCAGTGCCTCTCTCCACAACACTACTAGCCTCAGTGCCTCTCTCCACAACACCACTAGCCTCAGTGCCTCTCTCCACAACACCATTACACTCTGAAAGTGCAGAAAATGAATTATGAAGAGCAATAGACTGTGCAAAATGCCTTTTATCCACAACTCTAAGTCTACCAGATCCTACAGTAATCCATCTGCCTTTCCTAGCATGTCTCTGCGGCAGTGGCTTTGCAGCAGTTCCAGTCTGAATTTCTTCACCAGATAATTTACAAATCTCAGACTTCAAAAATACAATCTCCTGCCGCAAGATAGAGAACTGTCTACAGATTAGACAACAACCAAACATCCAAAAAGTGGAACGTGAAACAAATGCATTCCAATTACACTGAACTAAGTCTGCCATTCCAATTATGAGAATAATGTAAATCTAACAAATGTTAACTTTTTCCTTTAGTGGCTAAGATGCTTTGAGTAACCCGTTAAGGTTAATAAGACAAAGATGAAAACTGAAGACTACTGACAGA